CCAGTGGCGGACAGTGTTAGGGGCTGCGCTGTGTCCCCTCCACGCCCAGGAGGTGAAGCCTGGTTCCCAGGTGACGGTGACAGGTTGGGTCCTCACGGGCTTTGGGAGGGCTTTGGGAGGTCGTGAAGGTTAAATGAGGCCGTGGGGTGGGGCCCGCCTGGAGGACCGTGTCCCAGGAGACGCGGGAAGGCAGAGGCCACGCGAGGACAGGAGAGGGCGGCTGTCTGCGCCGGGAGGAGCCTCGACAGAAACCGAATTTGTCAGCACCTTGAGCTTGGGCTCCTGGCCTCCAGAACTGTGAGAAAGGAAATTCTGTTGTTGAAGTTGCCCAATCTGCGCTCCAGTTGGTGACGGCGGGGACGGTTCCAGGACCCCCGCGACGCCCGCTCCCCCAGCGCTCCACAGAGCAGCGCAGCCTCGCGGAGAACCCGCGCTGGCGGTCCCGGTGGCCTCTGATGGCTTGGTACACCTGACCACGGAAGCGCCCACCTGGGGCTCAGACAGTGGGCGGAAGGAGCCCGGGGCCAGCAGCCGGGTCGAGGGGTCGTTCAGCCCGAGGACTCAGAGCCCCTACCGTCCTTGGTCACTGCCACGAAGCTGACTGATGGGTGGTGACTGTGATAAGGGACGCTGGGCCCCCGTGTGCCAGGTGGGGTGCTGAGCGACTCCCGTGTAGGAGCGCATCCTGTCCCCAGGCTGCCCAAGACCCGGTGGACAGTGACTGCTGAGCGTTGAGACGGTGGTGGACACTCACGTCCTTGTCTCTGAGTAGGGCATGTCTGAGGCAGGACCAAGGGACACAGAGGTGGCAGCACAGGGAGGCTGGAGCAGAGGGGCAGAGAGCGGGGATAGCGGGGCTCTGACGTGCTGCCATCACCTACAAGACCCCCCCAAGCCGGTCATGGTGGCTCCTGCCTAGAGTCCGAGGCTGAGGCAGGAAGATGGCAGATTCAGGACCAGCCCCAGCAACACAGCAAGACCCTGCCTCAAAATGAGAAATCGGAAGGGCTGGATTGGGGCTCCCGGGCTGAGCGCCCCCTCCCCCGTCCTTCAGTCCCCCTCCTGTGGGGCGGGAGGGGCCTCTGGAGGTGAGGCTGGAGGACCTCGGCTGCTGACCCTGCTCAGCCTCAGCCCGGAACCTGACCCAGCAGAACTCAGAAGGAGCAGGTGGAATGGCGGCCACTGGCGGGTGGGGTGGGCAGGGCAACACGTGTCCCTTAGACGCACCGACTTGGTTTGAGGGTCAGCAGTGGAGCCCTTGCCTGCCATGTGCAAGGCCTGGCTCCATCCCTGGCGCCAAAAATGCAGTAAACCAACCAAGGGTCCGCCTCACCTGGCACCGCGGCACCTGCCTGCTGCCCCAGTTACGCGGGAGGCTGAGATGGGAGGACCGCTTGAGCCCAGGAGCTGAAGGCCACCTGGGCAACAGAGCAGGAGACCCTGTGAGAAATAAGAGACTTTCACAAAATGAGTCGGTTCTGGGGCTGGGGACATAGCTGGGTTGGTGGAGGGCTTGCCTCGCCTGCACAAGGCCCTGGGTTCCACCCCTAGCACCACACACACACACACACACAATGTAAACGAGTAAGTTCTGGAGACGAACACGCAGTGTGGTGACTGCCCTTAATAATGACGTATCGTATCGTATCCTTGAAATTTGCTGAGGATTCACGGGTCCCTCCCGCGGGCTCGCACAAAGTGGTGAGGAGGGGCTGGATCTGAGGGTAGCTTCATCTCGGAAATCACGCAGAGTGTGCAGTCTATCACCTTCATGCCGTACACCTGAAACCTACAGACTTTCTGTATTTGCCTGTCACATCTCAGTAAGCTACGAGGGGAGAAGGAGGCCCTCTGGAGTGGACCGAGGGCCATCGGCCATGAGCAGGCAGACCCGCATGCCCATCATACAGTGGAATGTTATTCAGCCATAAAAGAAATGAAGTTTTGCAAAGTCTGAAGCTGAGGGAAAGAGGCCAACCCAGAGGGCCCCAGAGTGTATGATCCCATTGATACAAAGTGTCCAGGCAAGTCCAGGGCGACAGGCGCAGGTTGGTGTCGCCAGCGGCTGAGGCAGGGGAAGGGAGCGCTTGGGGGCAGAGCTCGGGCCTGGGGTGGTGGGAGGCCTTGGAACTGGGTAGAGGTGACGGCCGAGAACCAAGGCCAGTGTCATTAATGCCGCTGGGTCATTCACTTGAAAGAGGTGAAAATGTCTGTAAGTGTCACCGAGGGTGCGCTGAGGAGCGGTCTAGGGCTGGCGGTGCCACTCGGGCAGAGCGCCGCGCGCCTAGCCTGTGGGAGACCCTGGTTCCCGCCCAGCGCTCCCCGCAAAGTGGTTTAAATGGTTAAAATCATATAGATTTTTTAAATGAAAGTGCCCCTCGGCTGCCAGGGGAGCCTGGAACTTGGAGGCAGGAGGGCAGCTGGGAAGCCGTCGGGGCCCTGACCAGAGGGGTAGTTGGTGAGGACAGGTGGATGGGTGGATGGACGCTGGGGGTTCTGGGGTGTAGACCTGGACTAACTCAGGGCTGAGAGAGGAGTCCACGTTTGGACCCCTAGACCAGGGCCTGTGGGGCTGGGGCACGTGGACGGATCCCCCAGGACTGCACCCAAGATGCCCTGAGACCCAGATGGAGGCACAGACGTAGGGGGCGGTGGGCTGCTCCAGAGCACAGGAGGCTGGGAGAGGGGCCGTGGGGACCCCGTGGGGGCTCTGCGTTCTGGGTGCAGTCAGGGAGGAGGAGAGGAGCCACCCAGATGCCACCCTCCGATGGGCCCGATGCCAGCCCCGTGTTTGTGTAAACTGCTGGACGCCCCAGAGCCCTGTAGATGAGCCCCATGGGGGAACCAGCCCCAAGCCAGGGTCACCTCCTCCTGCCTCAGACACCTCGTGCAGCCGCAAAGA